CCTGCATTCATTCTCTGAGTTCTGGCCAAACTAGTGTTGCTTCCTAACAGGAGGAGTATTTTCCACTTTCTGTCCTATGTCAGGTTTTCTCTGTATGTGTGTGTGGGTGAGGGGGAAATCAAGATTTTGAGCAGAGAGGTTATTAACATGAGGTTTATTGGGACATCCCATGAGAACAGCCCCAAAGGGAATCTCAGTGCATTTTTCCTTCTATCAACTCTTATGTGGAGATTAGGGATGAGAATAATCCATCAGAATTCCAGGTTGATGCCAAGAAGCACGAGCCCTACAGCATCTATGAAAAAAAATGTTATTAATATCACTGGTGTGTGTTCCCTGCCTTGGATCCTTTCATATTCATTCTTGAAGGCTCCTTCTCATTCCTCTGGAATCATAAGCTCCCATGACTCTTCTTTTCATGCCTAACAACTTTCAGACCTGTTCTTAAGTATTTGCTATAGGAATTGGTTACCTGCTAGTTACTTTAAGTATTTGGTTGATGAAAGGATTAGCTGTGATCACTGAACACCTTTATTACAGGCAAAGAACATAGTACACAAAACAAGAAAAAGATATGCATCGTGCAGATAGCCATGTAGGATTTCAGTGTTCTTCCACAGTAGGTGCATTTTGTTATCTCTCTGTCTTGGCCACCACCATTGGAACACATAAAGCTGGTGTCTGCTGGTGTTGGTCACACAGGCACCTTCTTGACATGTATCCAAATCTGATCATTGACTGAAACATTTATTATTAAATTAATTACATTTTAATTCAATCATCATTTATTGCCATTATTTACTATTACTAAGTATGCTTGGATGATTGTTCTGAGTAGGAACTCATGGATAAAATCAATATTCATATTAGGTTAATAAAATTGACCCTTATTATTTCTGATATCCATATGTGCATATTTGCTTTTCAATAAGATTTTTTTTCAGAAAAACTAAAATCAAAACTCACATGGTCATTCCACAGGCACTAGAAATAGTAAGGAGCTTAAATTGGTATATTTGTATGTTTCCAAGGGGTCAAACAAAGATCAGCTCTACATTCTTTATCCAGCTGATGAATAGGAGGAAGGGATCATGTTGTACAGAGGAAGGAGCTCTCTTAGGAGACCAGCTGGAAGGGGTTTGGGTCACAACTTTGATACCTGTTGAACTAGCCTTAGTCATGTAACATTTATGAACCTTGTTTTATTCTCTTGTGCAGATAGAATCACCTAGAATGAGCCATTTCCAGAGTTCAAGACTGTAATCATACTCATGTGACATCTCTCTTTTTCTCTTTCTATATATGTACATATGTATCTCTTTGAGTACACCTATGCACAACACACATACATATGCATGTATATAGGAGCAATGTATTTGTCTGTGCTCACTAAGTAAATGGTGATTTTGCTTTTATAGATACATAGGTGTTCTGAAAACTAAAGAATCTTCTATATATGACAGTGTTGGCTAAGGGTCTTCATTAGGCACACGAGGCTCTAGTAGTAACCCTCTTGACAATCCAGATCAACTGAGATTTACCTATTTACAATGGATTTTTATATAGACTTCTTTAGGAAAAATATAAACATGATAAATGTATACATATGAAATCCTTGGAAATTCAGTAGAGGAAACATTGGCTGCATAATAAAACAAATACAAGCAAACAGCTAAATAAAAACAAGGTAGATAATAAACAGGACTGATATTTAATAAGACAGGAGTCTATGTAATAATAGAGTCTATGTAATGTTTGTGGTGGGTTGCTTTCCCCCATCCATCATGTATTCATTGAACACATATCAAAAATGTTTACATTTTTACTTATTGTGTGCATGTGGAGGTCACAGAACAACTTATGGAAGTAAGTTAAATTCTTTTATTGTGTGCATCCCTGAGATCAAACTTAGATTATCAGAGGCATAGAAGAATGTATAACTCAGGACGAAAGCCATGCATTAGCTTGACCTGTAAATCCTGAGTATGAGAAATATTCCTGGCAAGTAAGGTTGGCCCTGTTCTCTTAAACACAGGGTAAACAAGCAGGATACCAGGCCAAGTGACCCCAAGGTGCATTATTAACTTGGCTTTGAGGAACAGCAAACGTACCAGTCTCTGACTGTAAGAGATGTTTTCATGAAATGATCACCAGAATTGTGTAAATAAAGTGTATCACTTTATTTAATGTAAAATAAAATTTAATAAAAATTAAAATACCACACAAAATAAACTAGATTCCCAGTAAGAATGTGAAGGCATTTAAAATTTGTTACTGTGAAGTTGTCAGAGTATTGCCTAGACTTCATATTTTATAAGAAAATACAATGCAAGAGCACTTTTGTAATTCAAGTTCAAATACTATGGAAGCATAAGAGTTTTATTTACGTGTGTGTGTGTGTGTGTGTGTGTAAGAGAGAGAGAAGAAGAGAGACAGGGAGAGAAAGAGAGAGAGTCTGTGTACATACTGTGTACACACTTATGTGTGTGCACTTTTTAGTGAGGGTGTGTACACCTGCATATGAAGGCTGAAGTTGATGTCAGGTGTCTTCCTCAGTTGCTCTCCACCTTTCTTTTTGAGACAGTATTGCTGACTGAACCCAGAGTTCAATGTGGTCAGTCGACCTAGCCAGTGAGCTCTATGGACTCCTTTGTCTCTGTTTCACTGCCCTTGGAGTTACAGTGTGTTCTACTAGGGAGGTGATGGGAGTTCTGGGTCTTCAAATGTAGGTCCTAATGTTTGCTTGGTATGCACTTTATCTACTTGCTGTCTTAGAGCCCCACAGTGAGCTTTTGTAAACAAATTACAAATTGAAGACAGTAGAATAGAAATGGTCAGGAGGACAGCCTTTAGATCAAATGGCCATGGGATCTGGTTCTGCTATTGATAAGCAGAGATCCTGGCCAACACGTTTAATCTTTTGGGACCTCTATTTCCTGTGAATTGAACCCATTTTCATAAGATTGTACTGAATACGATGTAACCTAAGAGTTTGACATCTACTCCCGAAACATTAATAAATGGAAAAAAGTCAAAAATATTTTTAAAAGCATGTTACCTTTAAAGCTCCCACTAATATAAACAAGCTTTTTTTTAATTATATGACCTAAAAGATTGTTATTATAATAGTGATGTCTAGAAAATAATTTTGGGTCAATACTATCATTCTCTGTAATTGCACACCGGCAACATGGAATATTATGGTAAACACCAGAATAAAACTCAGGAAAATTAGAAAATTCACTATGCCATGCAGAATTCTGATCCAACATTGTATTAAAATAGCATATCAATGGGAACCAGGAGTCTGTTTTATCTTAACACAATTAAGAAAGTTAAAGACCTGTAAGTGTAAAGGGGAGTGTTATTTTTTAATAACCAAACAAGAATCTTAGAATATTAATGAGATTCTTATCTTGTGAAGGAGAATGCCTGGAACTCCTTGTAATTGAAAACCATGCTGAGTGAAAAGTCTGACTAAGCCTTTCCAGGTCTCTCCACAGGGTCTCTACCTTAGGTGTTAAAATGAAGTCTTTTACCAGCAAGAGGCAAAAAGGACTCAGCCCCACTGTGGCCCACCATGATTCACAGCATGCATGGGCATAATATATTCTTCACAGACTTGAGCTTGTGTAGCTAAATCTTCTGTCAATGCAGGAATAATAGGATGTGTCTGCTAACATAACAATTAACACAGACTGGAATACTCTTGAAGCAAGACATTTTCTTCTTATTTCCTCCAGTGACGGATTGATTTTTCAGAGCCCAAGGGGAGGATGCTCCCCAGAACCAAATCTATGGGCCTGTACAATTTTACAATCTCCTTTAAAGCTCCACAAAGTCAAGGCAGTGTCACTGCCAGACCAGCACTTCTTCAAGAACCATCCCATAATGTGCCAGGACAGCACCATCTCTAATACAAATCCACACAGTATTTACAAAGTAAGCACTTTAAAGGGTGGCTTAAACACAAAACAACAAGTTTCCTGAGCTGCATGCTCTTTGACAGTTGGTGTGAGATGAGCCTGAGGATTGTGTTGCACTGAGTATTACAGCTTGTTCAGATGCATTTTCAATCTCACTGAATAAACAGCATGAGATGTTTGATGAGTGTTAATATGCAAGATGCCACAATTAGGTATGATTGTTCTTTTAAATTACTGCGATTTTTTTTGTATTCTTCCTTTGATCTCTCACAGACAGTGAGAACAAAATTTGTAATTTAAAACATATTGACTTTGACTCAGAAATTCATTTACACATTGTAAATACATTGTGGGCTGAAACATATAGTTATATGAAAAAATATCTTTGGTCTGAAATAAAGATACCAATTTTTTTCTCTTTTGCACGTGTTGTTCATAGCACTTTCCATGCTAAATTTTTGACCTTAAGTTTAAATTGAGTTTCTGTAAATGACATATCCTGCAAACTTTTGAGGAATGACAAGGAACCTGGACTCATGAGGAAGTAGGATTTAAAATACATTTGTTTTGTGTTCATTATAAATATGGGTTTGGGTACTTCCTTTTATTTATTTTTCAATACATGCAATCATTCCTACAGGTTGATCCTCCATTATACATTAACACTTTATTTTAAAATTCTTCTTTGGGGGTTCTAATTCTGAGTAGGTTTGTGGATCATTTCTCTAGGTACTTGAAAAACTATTAAAGTATTCATAAAGGGGAAATTTTCACGTATAATCTGCAGTGCAAAAGAAAAGAAAAACCACTGCAGCATATAATGCTCCCCAGACTATGTGTTTGACAAAGCCTGTTTCTATGTGAGTATGCAAAGTAAGCAGGAAAGATGCTCAAAAATCTAATAATCAATCATTTCACCTTTAGTTTTACATCAAGCCATTAGTTTCTCTTTGTAGTGTTCAATTTACCCAGTCTAACCATTCTTAATGTATTCCTATACCTTGTGAAACATCTAGTTATCACCTTGTCTGTAAACTTGTTCTTATTAATGATTTATTTTCATTTTTCCTCTAGGATATAGACCCACAGTTAACTGGATTTGATTTATATGAGGGAAAATACAGTCAATGGCTACTCTCGCCACATTGCTACTATGGAAAACAGAATGGTCAATAGGAGATGGTCTGATGAATAGTGATGATTGAAGACGCTGCTTCTATCTGTGTGAAATCAATGGGAGCTGCTTGCTGCATGAAGAATACTCTGAGCTTTCCTAAACAAGCTAACATTTGAGAAGCTGGAGGTGCATTCTACCATCATTTCATCTTTCTCAAGTGGATACAAATATATTTGCCTCATTGCACAAGAAAAATAGACAACTAATGTGGGACCATGGCACTTCCCAGATGCATGTGGCCAAATTATGTTTGGAGAGCCATGATGGCATGTGTGGTACACAGGGGATTGGGTGCCCCATTGGCTCTCTGTTTGTTGGGATGTTTTCTACAGACTGTCCACGTGCTCTCTCAAAAACTGGATGATGTAGATCCATTGGTTACTACTAACTTTGGAAAGATAAGAGGGATTAAGAAGGAACTCAATAACGAAATTTTGGGGCCTGTCATTCAGTTTCTCGGGGTTCCATATGCTGCTCCACCAACAGGTGAACATCGTTTTCAGCCTCCAGAGCCACCATCTCCCTGGTCCGATATTCGGAATGCCACTCAGTTTGCCCCTGTATGTCCCCAGAATATCATTGATGGCAGATTGCCTGAAGTTATGCTTCCTGTGTGGTTCACTAATAACTTGGATGTGGTTTCATCATATGTTCAAGACCAGAGTGAAGATTGCCTATACTTAAACATCTATGTCCCAACTGAAGATGGTGAGTTCATTGCAGAAACACAGGGAGATATATTTATTTTCTATTCTAAGTTTGAATAATATTAATTCATGTGTACTGGTAGTATGCATGGCTTTTCCTGTTGGCATGTAGACATATTTTACATGCTTGCATGCTGCTCTTTTTGTTTTTGTGTGTCAGTGTATCTGTTCTTATTTTTTCACTGTGCCTACTCATTTTCTTTCCTCCACAGCACGTATATTTAGGTAGAAATGGGCTCCTAATTTCCATTTCCTACCGAATGACTTCTGAGAAGATGCATCAACGTTTCCTCATTGCATGTGCAGGCTCAACAAATTGGGGCTCTTTCGCACTCAGTAAAAACAGGAGTGTACTAAGTTAGATAGTGGTGTTGCATGTTCCGGCGGTCTGTGATGGAGCGCCATGTTATTTTCTAGTCTTCTATTCATTTTTCAGTAAAAAGAATATCCAAGGAATGTGCCAGAAAACCCGGCAAGAAAATATGTAGAAAAGGAGGTATGTATAAAAGTGAAAATTAAAACAATGTAAAAGTTTACAGAGGAAGAACCAGATACTCTCCCAAAGGCTGACTTGCTGATGCTGGGGAGCAAAGTCTTAGGTGATGGGTTAGGAGAATGAAAGCTGAGCAGACAACACTGGGAAACTTCATTGCTGGCTCCAGTGTTCTCCTATGGGCAGTGCCCTTACAAATGTAATTTACTAGACTTTGCTTATAAAGGAAAAAGATACCTCACTCTTTTTCTGTCTAAGGAACCCAAACAGTGCTGCCTTAACAGCTGGTCAGGTTTAGTGTTTGAACTCTTCCTAAACATGAACAGATGTGTCCCTCTTCAAAATGATTAGTGTATAAACCTTTGTTTTATGGTGGTGTAGTCTTAGATCCTCCCAAACACCTATGGACTTTCTGATCATAAGGATAAATTGGCTACAGCTACGGGGCAGTTACTATTATTAAGTAATAGAGATATTTTTCCCAAGAGTTGTTTTCTTTTTCCAGTTACTCTTCAAGAAGAAAATGAGATATTTTTTTACTCGTTATGTGAAATATTTACAGTCTTAAAATGTCTTTAACTTTTATATATTTATGTTAAACATTTTAAAACATGGGAAGAACGTGATTCAGAAGCTACAATTAAATCAACCTTCAAATCATCCCCTAGCCAGATTGAGCAAATGTAGACACTGACAGCTGCAAGCTCGCATCTGAATGCAGCATGGTCACACTCCATTTTTACATAACATTCAGTAAATCACTCACAGGAGTGTATGATTTTCTACAGCAGTAAATCTAAGTGTTATTTTGACCTTATTCATAACTTAGTAGAATTTTCATTCCTCCTACAGAAGTCATGTTAATATTCCAGTGCTGTACATTCCACGTCTCTTTGCACTTCTAATCTGGCTGGAACAGCTCAGACTTCACCGGGGCATATTTGTGGGGAAGGGAGTGTCCAAACATTCTGTTTTATGAGGTTGGATTATGTGGAAGACACTTAGAGTAACAGAATTATCAACTGTCCATCACAAATACTTGCTTTAAGTTGGATAGTTTTGTTTCTCTTATTTGTTGGGCAAAATAGAGTTCAAACTTTACTTTTAAAAAGAGTTTGAGTCAAATGCACAGTTTGCTTAAGAAAACATATGGCAGAAAAAAGCTTTTAAACATTAAAACAAATTCCTGTTTTTTTTTTCAAAAGAGAACAGCAGCAGTTATTTACATGCCGTTAACTAATGTATGATGCTGCAGTGTTTATTATGCTTCTTATCAAGCATGTGTAATTAGCTAAGTGACTTTCGCCTCCTATCACAAAGCTGTTGATTCACAAAGTCATAAATAAAGATGCTGTTCAAGAATGCATAAATAGAGCATAATGCATGAGAAAAGTGTGATTACAAAAAAAATAAGGGCACCAAAAGGTAAGATAGTAAGCCAGAAAATGACCTTTCTTCTTATAGAACTTTATCAAGAGAAAAAAATACTCATTAGTAATTATTATTATTATTATTATTATTATTATTATTATTATTATTATTCCTTGGCTTGTTGGTTCTATATGCTTTATAAGAGAGCTGGCAAAGTGTTGTGTATGCTAGGCTGTTTACTTTGGCAACCTTTGAGCTAATTTATAATTAGATTAGGACAATGTCAACAGATGCCCACTGATTGTGTGATACACAGTCAACTATTGTGCTTTTATGCAGTGCTAATTAAGCACTATTTAAAAATCTTCTTGTTTGAGAACTTAGCATATCTTATTATAATTAGAGAAGGCCTGCATCCTTTTAATTGATTGTTTATTACCCTAAGTCTGAATAACTAATAATTTCAATGCTATATTCTATGTAAATAGTATTTTATAAAAATAAAAACTAACATTTACATTTGGCTATTGAATAATGTAGAAGAAAATGTGCCTAAAGTTTTAATTTTATATTTATTCTCTACAATGAAAGATTTATTTTAGTCAATTCAAGAAAATCATTAAGCTACACATAGTGATAAGCACCTGTCATTCCAGACAGCTCTTGGAAAGTAAAGGCAGAAGGATATAGATTTCAAAGCTAGCTGTGGCTACACATGAGTTGGAAGCTAGCCTGTTTTTCATGTTCCCTGCTTCAAGAAACTACAAAAAATTGAAGAAGAAACGATGTGAGAGAGAGAAAGAGAAAACACATTATCCTGTTTCAAGAAATTACTATTAATTTCATAACAATTTATGTAAAATTAAGTTTTAACTACAATGGAGTCTGGGTTGGGTTCTTGACTGGGTTCTTAAACAGTAGTTCAGAAACCAAGATAATAGTAGCATTGTGATTGGTCCAGATGCTAATTTTTGGCTTGACATTATTTACCTCTTTTCCTTTTAATGTATACAATCACTTGCAGAAGCATATGGGCCTGGTTCCTGTGCCAAGCTCTCTAGAGTCTGGGAATACTGTGTTCACCCAGAACTATTTCTTAATTGCCAATTATAAACATGTAATAATCAAGTGAGTTAGTAATAAATGAGGAAGACAAGGAATTCTCTTCTCAGAGAGCTTACATTCAAATGACTTTGCAAAGAACAAAACATTTTCTGTTCTTTGATCTATACAAAAGGAAGAAAAATTTCTCCCTCCAGGAGATACCATGCTATATTTTAAAAATACTTTTTGTAATACTTTCCTGTGTATTTGATGTTAGAAAAAAATTAAAAATAACATCAAATGACTAACTTTTGCTTTAAAACAGATCCCAGTTGCACATTTTAATCTATCTTTTTATAGTTCCCATGATAGTTTTAGCCATATGTTAATTGCGTTCTAGATATTCTTCAGCATTCTGTCCTTTTAAAATGTGAAATGAAAAATGAATGGCTAACATGAGCTCCTGTTGCTCAACACTTGGACAGATTAGTAACATAGAAGCTTGAGTTTTGCATGTGGACACTATCAGGTGATTTTTATTGTTTATCCATTTCACAGTTACAACAAGTGAATGAGAAAATTACACCACAAAAATCTAGAAAAGCTTTCAAAATTTGTTATTTTCACCCAATTTCTATTGCTAGAAAAGGTAGAAGCAGATATGACCAAAGTTCTTGCACATAGAAATTATTACCTAGAGTTCTGTTGAATTAAATTACTCTATGCAGGGCAGACGGCTCAGTCAGTAAAGTAATGTAAGCACAAGGACTTTAATCGGGTATGATGACACGTGTCTATAATATGTTACTAGAAAGACAGACAAAGCGAAATCTGTTGAACTCATTGGCCAATGAATCCAGCCTGTCTTTGAACTCCAGGTTCTGTGGGAGATCCTGCTTCAAAACAAAACAGCACAACACAAAATCGATAACACAGTGTGAGATGGTTGAGGAAGATACTTGCAGTTAACCTCTGGCCACTATCCACATGTGCAAACACACACAACATGCACAAGTACATGCAAGGGCACATGTGCAGATAGAGTGTGCAAGCACACACACACACACACACACACACACACACACACACACACACACACACACACTAAATAAGCTGCCTCTTCTAGATGATCCTAGTCACAGAGCCAGCTATCTGCTTTTGAATTTCTTGCTTCCCATTCTCCTCTTTCTTTTCCATGTTTTTCTTTTTTGCATATTCAAACATATCCCCAAAATTTTAAATTCTATCCACTCACAGCATGTTTGAGAGATTCAGATCTTATCTCAATTGAATTTGATCAAGGCAGTATAAACAACTTACCTTCAAAAGTATGTGCATAGTCCACATTAATTGCATGATTTTGTTGTTGCTGTTACTTTCTAGAGATTTTTAATTACTAAATTTTGTACATGAATCACTGCATATTAACTATGTAAACCATTACATGAGCCACTCCTATTTCCCTTTCTCAACTACCTCCTGCCCTTATCAATATCTCATTTATCCTATAATATTCATCATCTACTTACTAGTTTGAGTTTTCATTGCTATTTCACAGAGTTCAATATGTTTTAGCAGTGTGCAGGTTTCTTACTGCCCAGACTAAGTTCCCAGTATCTTCCCCTAGAACGCTATCAAGGAGTAGTTTTATTTTTTAAATTCTTCTTTCATATATTACATCTCAACTGCAGTTTCCCCTCCCTCCACTCCTGTCAGCCTCTCATAGTAACTTCCCTCTCTCCCCTCTCCCCCAGATACACTAGTCCACGCCCCCAAAGGCAGCCTTCCCAGGGATATCAGCCAAACATGGCATAACGAGTTACAAGAAGACTAAGTACAAACCCTCATATCATTTATGGATGAAGCAAGGAGTAGTTTTAACTCACTTCAGTTTCCCTCTGTTTCTGTGTTTCTGCCCTGTGAGATTTGCTAACAAACATTAAGGTGGTCAAATATTAGACAGTAAACACAAGAAGGAGGAACAAGGGAGCAGACAAACCCACAAAAAATTGATTAGCTCTGAATTCTGTGGTTAGTTATGCAGCTTTGCATTCTTCCAGGAGCTTGACTGTTATTGTGTAGTTCTTTGGAGA